ACTGGACTTTGAGGGACAGAGGATATAACCAGCATAATATGGAAAAGTACTGATATTTCACAGGGTGGGGATGGTTCAAAAGGCCTTGAACAAAAAGAAAAAGGGAATCGATCCAAACAGATCTGGGCAAGACCTGGGACGAAGAAAGATGGAGGAAGAGAATGATTAAAACGTGAAAGAGCAGAGAGGGGCCCAGGTGTGCTCTACTAATGTAAGTGGGATAAAGAGAGTGAGCGAAGAAAAATGGAGGCGTAAGACGAAAGAACTTCTGAAGGGCCTGACCAGGGGCCTTAAAGTTGTGGCTATGTCTGAACACAGTGTGTTTCTCATTGCCAACTTTTCCACGTGAGTTTAACACGGTGGTGGGACATCTAAAACCTGTTATTGACTGCAAATATTTTTAACATGTATACTCAAAGGATTGAATAGTGGCAGTGATTATGACTGAAGGTCTGTGGAATACAGAAGGCTAGGACTGTAGGTCAAAGAAATAGCAATACTCTGCAGCAGAACCAGTCGGCTGCTAAAAATAAGCCAAGATGCCAGAGAAAAGAAATGCATTGAGACAAAGGGGAAAAAACAGCAAAACAATATAAGAAACCTGATATCAGACCCCTGATACCACGGTAGATTCTTAAAATTCCCTCAAATCCAAAATATGCATGTTGCTTTCTCTAGTACAAATTACCTACCTATAGTTGTTAAGTATAAGAAAAAACATGCCACTCATGTTCACAAGTGATTTCAATAACAGAAACTAATCTATCTTCTGTAGAGGCAGCCTTTGAATGCAATCGTTTTAATCACTATGACTTTACGGAAAAGATCAGCTTTACTTTTTGGATGTTCATTAACAGCCTTCAAACATCTCTCTCTCTCTACGTTTATTTATATTTAACATCTCTCTATGTTAGACATGTTCCCAAAAAACTGTCCCCCAGATTAGAAGCTCCATGGGTTAACATTTCACGGACTTATATTAAAAATAGGAGCCTTATTCCCCAGAGAGGGAAAAACAGTTTTGTGATGCAATATATAATAAAATCACAGGGAGGTTTGGGGAAAACACCTGTCCCTATTATTACCTCCCGGGAGGCTTCATTAGAAAAGCATGTGTGGGTCCTCGGGACAACTGTTGGTTCTGTGCCACCCCGTAGCCTTGTTTCCTTCCTGATCTGGTGACACAGAATTTGGTGAACTGCCCTCTTGCAACGCATGGTGACCCATGTACACCCAGAGTCACTACTGAGCACGGACTGCGGGGCCACTCTCGAGGGGCTTCTCCATGCTGTCCTTTGATGGACAACATGTCTCAAGACTTTAAGATTAAAGCCTGACAAGTTAGCGAAGTCAACTTATTTCATGAAATACATATATTAACTTGCCGTGAAAATAACCGATTTCTTACTTTAACAAAGATTATAGAATCACATTATGTTCTACTTCTCAAATGCGTTCAGGAAGTGAGGTACACGGAAATCATATGCTCCACGTGGAACACTGTGCAGTATGTACATTTTAAACTTAAAATAATTTTATGTCAAATTTTATCCTAGCTTATACATGAATCTTACATGAAACGCAAACAGCAGGTGCAAGGGGTTTATGAAAAATTTATAGAAAAAACTCAATATTGAAAATGTTCTACCCATTTACATTTTCCCTGTGAATTTAGAAAAGATTACAGGAATTCAGTTTTAGCAGTCTACCTCTCCTTCAACATGTGCAATCCCAGCACTCCCTGGAAGCAGTGTTACCACTTCAGTGACATTAGAGCTAGGAGCACATATTGAATACATATTGTACAATGACACTACGATTACTAAAAACCAACAACAATACAGGACACATGCTAAACTCTAGTATCCCCACCATGTTTGAATAAAGTAAGCCTAATTTTTTTTAATTGAGGTATAATTGACTAAATAAACCTAAAGTTTAACACATTTATTTAGAAATTCCTTTTCTAAAGTTATTCTCAAGATTTTTTCCAATTCTTTAGTTACATTTAAGAGAGAAAGCAACCATCACATACACATCAGGTTTAAAGCAGCAATCTATCTTGAGATTTACTTTTGCCTGCTTTCTTTCCAGTCTAGCGTTCGATAATTTTGGGAACATTACAGTAAATAAAGCGCATTAACCACATATTAAATTTATAATCTATATCTAATTACTGTAGGATTTTACAAAATTGAAATTCTGTATTAGACAATTTGGAACATCAATATTTCCTGTGCATATTTAAAAACCAGAAGTGATCGGGATTAATCATTGGGGAGAAATGATTATGGAGAATCTAAAATCAAGAGCAATTAGCCTCAAAATAAGGCAGAATATAAACGACAGAAAATGGCTTTCACATTCATGATTTCAACTGCTCCTAAGAACTAATGTGATGAAGGCAGATAAACAACCCTTATGTTAGAGCCAAGAAGAGATTCAGAAAAAGTCAACGATACTCACTTTTAAAAGAAATATTTACCTACCAAGCATCTGCTCTGTGACTAGGTACTCTGCTAAGTGCTAAGGGCACAGAAATGAACAAGCAAAAACAAAACGCAAAAAAGGTACCTGTCCGCAAGAAGTTGAATAGTCTGGCCCAAACTAACTAAACCAGTAACCACTAAAGTAAGGAAGATGACTTCCACTTGGCTTATCGCTTGACTTGGTCTCTCTGACTTCAAGGTAAGGATGAACAACGAAGAAAGCCTAGTCGGGGGGTCAGGACAGGCACCTCAGAAAGACGTTGGACACTTTCTAAGTTTAAAAGTACGTGAAACGTGCACTAGAGTTAGAAAGTTTTGTTTTGTTCTGTTTTTTCTTTTCGGACTGGAAATTAGGGTAGCTGTAAAAAAGCTGTGCGTGTGTGTGTCTGCCTGTGTGCTGGGGTGGGGGGAGCGGGGAGATGCCAGCAAAGGATAAAGTCTACAAGCTGATGCAGAAGGAAATTGAAGAACATCACACAGCTCTTAAGAGGATCGGGAAAAAGCACCACTTGAACCAAGCAAAGCACCAACATGGTTCTGGTCCTCACATGTACAAGGTCAATTAACATGGTGCTGAGGAAAGGCAGGGCTGCCTGTACTTAAGATGATCATTAAGACGGATAATTCTAGTTGTGGCCTTGAGGAAGGGAGCAGACATATAGACATAATGTATAGCAAAGGATATTTACAGTCACATTTCACGCACCAATAAATAATGCATTCACTTCTCAAAATGCCACAGCAAACGTGGGAGAGAATTTTCATCTATATTCAGGATTAAACTTTCTAATTTTAAATTACCAGACTTCAGCTGTAAATTTCAGTTGAAAGGTGTGAAAAGATTATTAATGAATCTTCTAAAAGTCTGGAGAGTGTTTAGAAAATTAACATAATAAAAAAGTCCAGCCATAGGCACGGCAGAAATTATAGGCATGAATTTATTGAGCACCTACTGTGACAGCACTGTGCTAGGTGACTGGGTTGTTTCTCATACTTCGTCACGCTCCGGTCTCCTCAATTTCTCTGTCATCTTTTACCGTGTTCACTTGGAACTGCACAATTCGAAGTGCAGCCCGGCTCATTTATTCCGTAAGGTTGGTCCCAAAGACATTTCCTCATTTGAAGGCGGGGAGGAGGGGAAAGCTAAGTCCCTACCGAGCACTTAAGACCTGACTTTCTTGGTATTTGTGGTGTTATCTACGTGGCCCTTCAGAAGTCCCCGAACTTGTACAAAGAACTCAGAGAAGATCGCAACGGCTCTGCCCCCAAGACCGCCCCCGCCGGCCCTCGTTTCTTGCCGGAAGGTCCTTCGCAGCCACAGCTGCCCGTCTAGGTACTAAATCGCGGCCTGTCGATAACCTCAGCTCTAAGTCTGGAAGCCTCGGATCTGGCCGGCCGGGGGCGGGGGCGGCCGAGGTGACAGCAGGTGAGCGCCCGGCGCGGAGGAGGAAGTGAGACAGGCCGGCGTGGGCATTACTCAGGCCGCGTTACCGCCGAGGTGGCTCGCAAGCGGAACTCCTCGCCCCTCCGTCGCTCCAGCTGGACTTCTATCTCGTTGAAGTCACTTCCCATCCCGGGTCGCGCGGGGGAAAACCGTGCGTCCGAGGAGGGGCAGAGAGGCAGACGTGCGGGGGTCAGGTGGCCTCTACCCTGGCACCGCGTGTCCCGAACTAGCCCCTCTCCGCTCCCCGGACCTGCCTGCCCCGATCCCGGGGCGTCCCCGGGCGGCCCGGGGTGCGTGAACCCCCCGTGAGGAGGAGGGAGGACAGGTCGCTCCGGCCACTCCGGGGGCAGCTCCGAGGACACCGGATCCCGGGGAGAATCAGCCAGACCCGATCGTGCCCCTGGCGGCCGCGGCGGGTGTGGCCGGTTCAGAGCCTCCTACTTTACCTTTCTCACTCCGACGGCCAGTCGCCCTTCGGACCACGTCCGCACCGATCCCCATCGCCCCCGCCCCCAACCCGCGACACCTGGGGGAAACTTCTCCCTCGCCCCTCAATGCAAACTCGGCCGCTCCCCCAGCGGCCGCAAACCGTCCTCTCCCTAGCAACAAGGTTCCGGCCGTAGAGCGAGCGCCTCTAGGTGTAAGGAAGGTGATGTCGTAAAGCCGCGAGTGTCGTAAACCAGGTGCGGTGGGGAGGGGGGAGGGGTGGAGGCGGAGGGGCGGGGGGGAAGGGGGAGGGAGGGAGGGGGAGGAGGTGACTCGAGCATTTAGACACAAGCGAGAGGATCATGGCGGATGGCCCCAGGTGTAAGCGCAGAAAGCAGGCGAACCCGCGGCGCAATAACGGTGAGTGGCGGAGCGGACCGGGGAGCGGCGGAGTCAGGGGGAGCCGGGCGGCTGGGGCGCCCCCGGGGGCGAGGGGGGCGAGCCGGGCTGGGGGCGGCCGGGTAGGGACGGGCCAAGTGGAGTGGGAAAGTAGAAAGTAGTGCTCTCTGCCCCCCTCCGGGCCGCCGCCTCGGGAGCCGCGCCGCGGCCGCCCGCTCTCCCTGAACCGTTATGTCTCTTACCTGGTCTCTCCGCCTAGCGGCTCCCGCCGCCCCTGCCGCCTCGCTGGACCGTTAGCCGCCGCCGCCGCCGCATCCCCGGCGCAGGCGGGCGGCCGGGACGCGGCGTCCACTTTTCTGGGCTCCGGGGGAGCGGCTGTTGCTTCTTTCCGCACTTTTCCCCACTCTTGTGCCCCTCGGCGCCCCCCTCCCCTCCTCCTCGGCGCCCTCGGCGTTTCGTCCCCGCGGCGCCGAGGCCCCGGAGCCGAGGAACTAACTTGTGCCCGGCGCTGCCTGTGTAGAGTGGCTTCCGCGCGCCCCAGCCCCGCCGGCGCCGGCGCTCGGGCCCCGCGGCTCGGCCGGGCGGGCGGCGGCGGGAGCGGCGGCCGCGGGCTGCGTGTCGTCCG